ATGGCCGGCTGAGAATCAATCACTCTGGTCATTCTCGAGGTGGTGAAATAGCGGGCTCTGATGTTTTTACTGAGCGGTCAAATTGAACTAATATGTCTAGAGAGTGAAATTTACACACCTCCGTCATTGTTGAGGGGTAAAACGGTACGATCAGATGTTTCTAACGGTTGGATTGTTTCCTAATGTTCGCATGGTAATCACCCAGATCACTTTTGGAAGTTGGGAAGTGTTGAAATGACGCTTTAGGATGTTTACGGGTGATCAAGTTGATGCGCCCTGAAATGCTGTCATGTGTTTAATGGGCGGTGAAATACCTGCGCCCCTTCTTAGATGATCATGAATTTGACCCGGTGATCGCAACTCGCGGATTCACCATCTCGGCAATGTCCAAGTGGTGAGATTCGCCTAACCGTAACAATCGTGAGGATGATCAAATGTAATTAGTGCTTTTCAGATGAAATTGTTGTGGCGTTGCGATACATTTAATGGGATATCAAATTCGATCGCTTTTTTCCCCAGGAAGTGGTGAAATTTCATCATTCCGATCATTCCTGGAGCTGATAAAATAGCGCAATGAGATGGAGTTACAGGAGGTCAGCTTGCATCATTCGAGTTCTGGTGATGTGGATTGGTCTCCAAGCCGTGTGAATTATAAGCGTCTTTAAACCGCATCCTCTCAACCCGCGCTTTCACCACTACAACAATCCACTCGTTAAGTACATCAGAACCGTCATTTCACCACTTTTACAGATGGGGCCGAGAAGTTAAATTTGACCACCTCTGAACCATCTCTTGATTTCATCCTTCCTTCCTCCCCGCCCTCCCCCCCCAAAAGACCAATCATCTCCGCCCCGCCAATGGACCATCTAGGGTCGCGGGGTCTCCGGCCCATTGCTCCTCGCACCGTGATGCCCGGGCTCACGCCGCCTGGCCAAGGGCCACCGGGGCCGTTACCACCAGAAGAACCGAGGATGAAGAGAGCATCGACCGCATGTACGGAATGCAAACGACGTCGGACAAGGGTACACCCGCCCACTCTCGTCTCCCACCTGCCTTGGGATTGACCTCTCCTAGTCACTTGCCTTGCACCTTGTCTGACCGTCCCGTCTCTTTCTTCTCTTAGTGCGCAGATGGCAATCTGGGCAAGCCATGTTCCGAATGCGAGACGCATGGTCGCCAATGTTTCTTTGATGAGGGCTCCGACAAACGCCGTAAAATTTCCGCGAAACGCACCCAGGACGAGCTGCGCTACTACCGTCAGTTCGTCGACCTCCTGCTAGAGGCTATCCGAACGAGCGAATATCCCGTCGTCCAACATATCATCGAGATGATCCGCGCTGGCATGCCCGAGGATCAACTGGCCGCCGAAGTCGCTCACATCCTAAATCGGCCTCCTCTCCCCTTACCGACCAATCATCGAAATACCTCTGAGCCCGACACCAATCCCGAATCCGAGATGGACCCCGGCATAGGCAATCAAGATCCCATGCACAATCTCTTTGGTTACCGGTAGTCCCTATCCCCTTCCGCCCTACCCTCCTCTCCCCCACTGCCTCATCTACCGTTATTTGCATATGATTGGAGTGCCTTGTGGCTTTTCGCGTTTGCCCGCATAGCGGCCTTGCGTGTGGACTGTCCTTGGCTGGTTGAATCTATTGGTTGGTTGTGCCACACCGTTATACCTGCTTTGGTTGTGTCCTTCTTGTTGTTTTGTTATGATCCCGATATCCCTGATACTGTAACGAGTTAATATCTCTTTCTGCCTCCAAAAATGCCACTATTAAAAGTGCTATTTCTGTTGGCAAATGGTGAGAGATTTTGGTCATTCGAGGACCGTCGGACATCTTCCCGCCTCTAGGCATGAATAATGGATCATGAAGGTGAGCGAGACTCAAGTTGGAGAAATAGCTTTGTTACAAACGCCGCGGGGAATTCTCCGGTGAGGAACAAGTGTTTTTGTGCCTTGCTCCAGCAAAAGGAGGGGTTGGTGAGTAGTTCTGCTTCGATGGTTTTCGGCTCCATGGAATAAGATATGTGGTCGATGAGATTAGGACGAAGGCTGCGACGCATAAGGAAAGAACGTAGGGGATGACAAAAAGAGACAGACGGGAAGCGAGAAAGCAGGCCAGCCAGATCGCCAGAACTACCATGATTCCTGGGACATTACGGTGTCATAACGATGACTCATCTGTTGGTTACAGCCATTAACTAACGTTAGTTACCATTATATTTCTGCCAAAGTTACAAAGCGGTGTCCTAAAGTAGACATTACGGATTTATTCCCCGGGAAAGAAAGAGACCTGCTGTTGTTCAAAGGAAGATTGATTGTTCTCATTTCAGAGGGAAAATGTTAGGCTATATATACAACGAAAAGATCAAGTTGATTTCCTATAGACACTTCGGGAATTATTTTCGATGCTGCGGCTTTGTTCCTGATCTGCACCAGCCTCATATCACCACACAGACCGGCAGATTGCAACTCGAATCAAATTCACTATGGAGCCTGTGTGGATGGATTTACTTCCAGGCAGATGAACTAAATTGTCCTATCATTTCCTCTTCCCCATAGCCCTCCTAGCACCCAGTCACGCCAGGTACCATCCTGGGAAGATGATGTGCTAGCGGAACTATGGCCGAACGAATTCCGATCTAGCGACACATCCAGAGGCTGAAGGCGCCGGCAGTTCTTTTTTGGCGCTTGGCAGGATAACCATCGCCTTTGCCGGGAGGGTCTTCGTGCAGGGGCTTTTCCTGCAATACTAGACTCTGCGGTTCTAGGTTCTGCGATAGGTCGGTCTGTGTTGCGCGATCCCGCCGTGCCGGCCTCTGAGAATGTTCGATCTGCGCCTCTTGGTCCTGGCGCGTCGGAGTTTGTGGGGGCCCACTCTGCGTCTCGAGGACCTCCCATAACTGCTCATGTAATGTTTGATAGAGTTGAGCACAACTGTCATCCGGCCACTGTAATTTATCACCGCTGCTTCCTTGAATGCTTTCCATGCGAGACGTCCAACTAGAAGCCAAGCTTTGGCTTGGCGATGATTGCAACTGTAGGGACTGGTTGGCCGTGGAGCTCCGTCCTGATCGAGGGCTTGGCGGTCGAGCTAACATCGGCCTGAATATGGGGCTACTCGGTCTTTCACAGCCGTCATCTTGCGCTGTTTTGAGACAAAGACAGGCAGGATCGGAGAGAAGCGGGTTATGGGGGGTGGCGTGGGCCTGCTGTGCGATCTCTTCATCCATACGTGGCAAAGATGCCTGATGTTGATGTGGCGAGCTAAAGACCTCTCCTTCCTGGCCTGCTGCTCTCTTCGAGATGCCTAAACGACCTGGTTAGCTAGGATTTTTTAAAGATCCCTAGTAAACATAAAAAGGCGTCTTTGATTTACCTTCATTAGGATCATAGGTGGAAAGGAGTTCGCTGATTGTAAAGACATGGCTAGAGCCTAATTGTCGACAGTCTGATACAGCATTATGGGCACCATGGCCTACCAACGGTTCTCGAAGATCAATCCTACTGTCGCTATTAATGCCGCGTGTGCCTGAGAGGTCGATCCGTTGCGCTAGGCGAGAGGCATGTGAGGCACTGACAGACGTGGGCGAACGGCCTACCGACGACTTTCCTGGCTCACAAGAAGCTTCCGTCGGTTCGCCGGATGCCAAGGGTCTGACTAGGGCTCTTACTAGTGTGCCCTGCCCCGTAATCCGGTTGTATTGCCCACGTAGGGATTCTGTAGACCGGTTTGTGCCGAACATTTCGTTCCATAGCTTCACCTTATCTCTCCACGAAATCGAGCGTCTCGCCTCAATGAAAGGAAGAAGGGATTCGAGTTCCTCATCTGTCCAGTTCCCAATCATGGAAGTTCGCTGACGAGAGTTGGGCTTTTTCTGCCTTGCGATTTTCTTAGATGAGAGCCGCTTCTGTCCCCTATAGCTAGGGATCTGACGATCAGATCCTAGAGACGGCTGTTGATTCTGGAGTGCGTGCAACTTTTTGCCTAGTCGATTGTCTTCTGGTTGCCACGGGAGGGCGCCAGAGTTATTGGGGAACGTAGCGAGGGCGGTGATCCCTCTAGTGCCGAACTCTCCCATATTCGTGACTCTGTGCACAAAGTACAGTATACGTAAGCACAGTACTTAAAGGATCTTGCCAGTTCAATAAGAGATGGAAGGAAACATTAAGAGATGATCAAGATCTGTGAGTACGCGTAGAATGTTGCGAGTGCTCAACCACCAGCGCATTGCCCCGAATATAAAAACGGGTAAAGAAAATAATATATGGAGGGAACCAATTGATAGCGTCCACGTATCCTGCAGAATGGCCTGCTAGAGCCCTATTGTTGCATTCGAACATGCAGGATCGGAGACGGTAGCACGGATTCCGGACGGCAATGTTCAACCGCTTTACAGCGAGATTCACCGAGAGTCCGTGACTACACCTGAGATCTAACTTAGGCCGAATTCAGTATCCCTAATGGCCCAGGTGAAGGTTTCCATACGCAAGACATTGGCAGGGTCCCGGGAGAAACGAGAAGCCTTTCCTAGGTGCAGTGCGGCCACCTAAACTACGACGACGAAAGCTAGTTTACCTATAAAGTAACTCGGAAGCTACAGCCATCCAAATGGCTTGGGAAATTATCGGCAAAGCTTTGTTCCACTAGTCTAATTTCCGAATTTACAGAGATTCCTATAGATGCTCTTTGATTCGTGGTGGCGGTCTCCGCTTGATACAATAGCTAATCCCCTGTTGACTAGCAACATCAGATACTAGTCACTCTATTGGAATGATGTTGAGCCTAGAAACTAGACCCACGTCGCATCTAACACCGTACTGTTCAATACGCGGTGCCTAAGCTAGCGTGGTTCTACGTATTACTACGCTGGAGTGGATGCAGTCCATATTGCCCAAAATAATCCATCCAAGGCGGCGCAACGGTGGACCTTGTTGGGACTAACGTAGTGTACGGCAGTGTTGCGGTAGTGATAATCACTAGTGAAAGGCATCAGTAAATCCAACACGCCATGCAGCTGAACCGGCCAGACAAAGGTGGTCCAACCGCAGCGTCGTAGTATCCATAGTCAGTGTTCAACGGCAGGGATAAATCCAACACGGCGCAGGCAAACCCAGCCAGTCTCGTGTGATCCAACTGCAGCATTACAGCACTGATAGCAGTGTTCACCAGCAGGGATATTTCCAACACGCCACGCAGGTCAACATGGCCAGTCTCCTGTGATTCAACTGCAGTGTCGTAGCATCCATAGTCAGTGTTCACCAGCAGGGATGTTTCCAACACGCCACGCAGGTCAACATGGCCAGTCTCGTGTGATTCAACTGCAGTGTCGTAGCATCCATAGTCAGTGTTCACCAGCAGGGATAAATCCAACACGACCAGACTCGTGTGATTCAACTGCAGCGTGTAGTATCTATAGTCAATGTTCACCAGCAGGGATGAAGCCAACACGGCGCAGGCGAACCCAGCCAGATTCGCGTGATTCAACTGCAGCGTGTAGTATCCATAATTAATGTTCAACGGCAGGGATAAATCCAACACGACCAGACTCGTGTGATTCAACTGCAGCGTGTAGTATCTATAGTCAATGTTCACCAGCAGGGATGAAGCCAACGCGGCCAGACTCGCGTGATTCAACTGCAGCGTGTAGTATCACTAGGCAGTGTTCAACGGCAGGGATGAAGCCAACACGGCGCAGGCGAACCCAGCCAGATTCGTGTGATTCAACTGCAGCGTGTAGTATCCATAATTAATGTTCAACGGCAGGGATAAATCCAACGCGGCCAGACTCGCGTGATTCAACTGCAGCGTATAGTCTCCATAGTCAATGTTCAACGGCAGGGATGAAGCCAACACGGCGCAGGCGAACCCAGCCAGATTCGCGTGATTCAACTGCAGCGTATAGTCTCCATAGTCAATGTTCACCAGCAGGGATGAAGCCAACACGCCACGCAGGCCAACATGACGAGACTCGCATCCAACTGGAGCTTGTAGTCTCCCTAGTCAATGTTCACCAGCAGGGATGAAGCCAACACGGCGCAGGTGAATCCAGCCAGACTCGTGTGATTCAACTACAGCGTGTAGTCTCCGTAGTCAATGTTCACCAGCAGGGATGAAGCCCACAGCGCAGGCAAACCTAGCCAGACTCAAATAATCCACCTACAGCATTATAGAAATGATAATCAGCGTTCAACGGCAGGGATGTTTCCAAAACGCCACCGAGATCACCTCGCGGCAGGACACTCAGTCATAGACAAAAGAGGAACATCCATCACGCCACTGTTCAGGTTACTTGGCTAGACTCGTGTAATGCTAGACACAGCTACGCAAATACGCGCACCTTCAATTGCAAACTGTGACAGCGCATGTCTATTGGCGGTTTTCACTTTGATGGGATGCCAACTGCAGCTGCCCCATAGTCAACAACAAGAGACCCTGCTCTGTTGTTGGCCCCCTTTGTGGATACGTTTGGTAGTAATTCTATGCTAGCGTGACCTACTCGTGGAAATCCTGCTTTCCGCCATGTAGCCGTATGCCTCTCAGAATTCCGCAACGGGGCCTATTTTCGACTATAGCAAGTCCCATTCCTGCGATAGGGAGGGTGAGCCATTCGAAGCGAGCCTCTTTGACGTAACCATTATTCGTGTTGGCTAGGAAAATGGACTAATACCGATTGCGTCAGCAGGTCACAGCGAGTGCCCTTTGTCCCATAGTCTAGGACCGACACATCCGAGGATGGCTAGAACACTCATCTTGGGATAGGTGGTACGGGTTCCCCCAGGAACATGACTCACTACCATACCGTAGTCGCTGCGTTGCACGCCCCTGTCTCTTTCCCTATCTCGACTAGTAGGTGTGAATGCGAACCCAACAACCCGTGCTATACGTAAGGCAATTGGTCAAGTCTCCGGGGCAGCGCTATCTGTCTGTAAGGTGACGCAATCCGTTCTCTAGTAAACCGATAGAGCTCTGATGTCGGAGGCGAGATCTCCTGTAGACGGCCTCTTAGCGAACCCAACAATCATCCTAGTCACCAATGAGGATATTGGGGCCAGGCGATCAGGTTCGCATGACTCGTCCTAGTCAGGTGGGCTGGTTCTGGGGAGGAGGCCTTCGCTATGTCAGTTTTACGGCGCAGTCAATCAGTTTTACGGCGCAGTCAATCAGACCAGTACCCCTGCCATCATGTCACGACCGCGCCATACGCAGCTGTCCTGCAGATACTGATCATCGTTTTCACCGTGGGAAGCCCCATCCCATGAGCGTAGCGTTCGCGTCCATCGCGATGCCACTATGGTGGCCCTTGGGTTGGCATAGACATGGCGAATGAGTTGGTCGTTATAATAGGAGTGTTCCTGATCAGCGGCCCGTCGCGTCACCGCACCGCACGTGATGTGCATTAGGCGTGAAATTCTCGTGACGACCGTGTTTAGCGTGATTTCTCAGCGCCTAATTCTAGACTAATCAAGTCGATTTTACTAAACGCAGCCTAGCTTGCCATAGTTTCATGCTTTAGCGACCTCGTTGCCCTATCGATAATTGGATCCCCTACTCGATTGTTAGCCACAGCGTCATCCTCGACCAATCGGAAGGACTCCCACCGCCATACTCGGGTCCTTTGATTACAACAGACCCTCACAGGGGCCGAGACAGGATGGATCCTAGGATGTTGGCGTGGGGGGCCACAGAAAAACACATCATCTACTTTGGATTCATATCCGGATCTACTGTAGACGTCGGAAGAGGCTTGTGTACAGAGGCAGAAGGAAGGCGTGCCCATCTTGCCGCACAAGCATGCAACGAGCTCCCCGGCCCGGAAGCCGCCCGTGTGGAGATTGGAGGCCCATTCTTCCAATTGCACGACGCCTGCGGAGGCGGCGCGGGTAGTCACAGGCATAGCCAACAACGTGATCCTCGGGGTAAAAGAAGGCAGACTCTGGTCTAGAGCTGCTGCGGCTAGTCCATGGCGCCTAGTCTCCGCCCGGTACTTTTGAACGATCGGGGTCGATGTCTACTAGTAGGAAGATGATTTTATTGCCCTCTCGTTGCTAGAGTGAGCCCCTAGGCTAAGTCGAGGGGAAATCAAATTATCCAAGCCTGCTTTCCTACGGCATCGTTTTAACTTAGGAAACTACGTTGATGCTAGGATGGCTCTTAGATAATATACATGTACTCAAGTACTGGACACGCTGGGCCTAGATTTCCTTAGCGGTGAGAGACTGGGAACCGGACCTAGACCCTGACCTCCGCCATTGGAGCCTACCAGACTAGATAGGGTTGTATTTGTCAATTTTCCGTTGTGCTTGCTCTCTAGTGTATCGGGTTTATGTCGGACACCGTGGGACAGGACCCCTCGCCGGCGCGTCTACTTTGAGGCCGACAGTGTGCCATGCTCGTCAAACTAGATCAGACGAGGGCATGCATCTATCCTCCTGGCCGAAGAGCATAGGGGGCGATTGGTCACGTGGACGTAGCGAGAGCTTTCTCGGACGGGACTTTTTTCTATCTCCGATAGTCCTTGGGATGCCTTGTTGGCGGCTCAATCTCCGCTCACAGACTAGGATCCCAACCTATCTTTGATCCACACAAGGGGCTCTATCAGATCATAACGAGACTCGCCCCATGCAAAATCGGGCGGGGTCCTACTACACAAGCAGAGCCCAGGACAGGGACGGGGGGAAAAGATGCCCCAGAAGTGGACATATCCAAACAAAGGATCCTTGTGTGGCAGATGTAGCTACCGTTCCTAAACGGGACCTAAAATCTATACAGGGTGGCTTGCCTAGCACCGAGCGGATCGTGCACTAAGAACCTCCTACGTCTACCGTTGTTTGCTTAATGCACCTTAGGACGTCTCCGCGAGGTAAGGAGATCCGGCAGCTATTGCTGTGGATCGAATACGAGATATTAGCGTGGAGCTAGGCTTTCATATAGGTGGCACGCATTAAGTAGACACGCATTAAGTAGACACGCATTAAGTAGACACGCATTAAGTAGACACGCATTAAGTAGACACGCATTAAGTAGACACGCATTAAGTAGACAACACAAGATACATAGTACCGCCGCCCCTTGACACTTAAATATTCTCCCCCAGGCTAGTAAAAAAGCGGTCAAGGTCGTATATATCGGGATGCTGGGTATGGCCATTTGTAGATGCGGCGGAAACTGGGTTTTGTGTAGCAAACTCCCAGTTAGCCATACCCTGCTGAGTCGTCGGAATCTGAGAGGGGTGCACAGAGAGTCCGTTGCCGTTGGCAGTCGAGGCGCCAAACTGCCCCGGATCAACGGTGAATCCATTTTGCTGCTGCATTGTGCCCACCGGGCCTTGAGGGAGGCCCGGCGCGAGATGAGACGGGGGCTGGACGTGGTTCGATGGAGGATTTCCTGAGCTTGGATATGGATTTTGGTTCATTGGCCACGACACGCTCAGGTCCGAGATGGGCTGCGGAGGAGACTGTCTCTGGGTTGTGACCGGCAGTCCCTGATGGAGAGACGAGCGCTGCGTCGCACTCGGCCGAGGCTGTCGAGTCTGTGGCGCCATGTCGCCAGCGTGGAAACGATCATCCACTTGACCATGCCCAATCCCTTGTCCACTGCTTGCTTTAGTTGATGTCTCCAGCAACGGTGATTCAATCCCAATTTCTCTGAGCATATTTTTCATGGTCGGATCCAGCTCTGTCGCTCTTTCGATACCGCTTTCGATCCGCTCCCTATCCTGAGCCAATTCCTCACAGACATTGTAGAGGTTTTTAGCTACCAAACCACAGCGTTTGTGATCGGACATCAAAGAATCCTGCGGCCGGTGTGATGAGAAAACTGTGGACCGGCGCTAGATTATCATACTTACTAAGACTTCTTTCCCTCCTGCCACATTTCGTAGCATGTGCAAGAGCTTAGAAGTGATCTTTTCCTGGGAGGACTTGTTCATTTTCGTTGATATAGCGATGACAACGAACAGGTTCGGGATGCGATAATGAATTTGTTGGCGAACGGTTGAAAGAGGCGGGGCGCAGCGGTTATGAACGATTCTCGTAACGTTATTTGCGGTAACTGCGTTTGTCTGCTTTTCTTTGCAAGGATAATGGAGGCCGCGTAACTCATAAAGCAACGCACTATAATTCCCCCCCCCGCCCCCGGCGGGGGATCTTCTCTAGTCTTGGCTTAGTTTTGGTCAACTGCTCCTTGTCCGCTGGCTCCCCCGATTCCGATATGGTGGTACCACGTGAATCTGCAGGTAAAACCAAATGTGCAGTTTACTCGTTGTGGAAAATAACATATTCATCTTCAAGCACAGTGGCCAATGTCGTAGGAATTTAAATGCTCGTTCTCGTTCGTTCTCATGGACCCACCAATATCCTTTGTTTCACGCAGTTCGTTCGAGCAGTAGTAATGTTCAAGTCTTCTGCAAAAAGAATCTGCCCAGTCTATCTGCCCTCTATTCAAGATAGCATCAGGTGGTTCCATTGATTTGACGAGAAACGTATGCGATTACTCTACCTACCTTCCCACTGTATACTGTAACGCTTACCTCACGGAAGTATTTTGTGCAGTGAAATCTGAGAAGATACAGTGATTCTCGAAATCGGCTTGACCAATACACATATGACAACTAGTTTCTGGCCCCACCGCCAAGGCCTTAGCGCCGATCAGTCATCGCGCGGCCCGCATCAAACCGAGGGGCAGGGTAAAACGCGATCTGTATGTTACAGTACCTAACTACGCAAGGTTACACAAGCATACGAAAAGCCTGTGGAATTCCATGGAAACCGATAATGGGTCTTTGTAAATCACGCCGAGAGGGCCGCTATCTATGGGCTTATTGATCAAGGTGATGTGCTATAGGCGCTGACGACTAGCAGCGACGGGGTGTGACTAGTTGATCATAAATGACGCACTTGGCACTCGCTACTGCATTTCTATTGATGAAAATCCTATCTATAGGGCATTAAACAGATATCCTTCCTTGGAGTCGAACCTAGGAACACCCATTCCTTCTCGCACATAGATTGTCGAGCGCTGTTTTAGTGGATCTCTGCAAATCAGGGGGCTATTCAGGCGTCTTGGCGTTTTCTATAGCCTTTGCATTCGCATAACAATACGGGGAAACCTAATGCACATAGGACAAAACCCATACCAAGGCATACATGAAATGCAACCCCTCTTAATAGCCGCACCGCACCACATAACACTTGCTAAACCTGTTCCCCCTTGCTCTGCTATTTGTTCATTAAGCGACTTCACGATCAAAAAGAATAAGACCAGTATAGCAGGGGTCTGTAAAGCCTCTTCTGAATCGTAATAGATTTACTAGATTATGTTAGTATGATTGTCTCCAATATTCTCGTCAGAGTCAACACTTACACCCTATCGATGTCGTCTGCGTTAGTCCTGCATCCAGATAGCCATCTCCGTTGGTTGAGGATCAACACTTACAGCCTATCGATGTCGTCTGTGTTAGTCCTGCATCCAGATAGCCATCTCCGTTGGTTGAGGATCAACACTTACATCCTATCGATGTCGTCTGCGTTAGTGCTGCATCCAGATAGCCATCTCCGTTGGTTGAGGATCAACACTTACTATCTATCGATGTCGTCTGCATTAGTCCTGCATCCAGATAGCCATCTCCGTTGGTTGGGAATCAACACTTACTTGCTATCGATGTCGTCTGCATTAGTCCTGCATCCAGATAGCCATCTCCGTTGGTTGGGAATCAACACTTACACCCTGTCGATGTCGTCTGCGTTAGTGCTGCATCCAGATAGCCATCTCCGTTGATTGGAAATCAACACTTACACCCTGTCGATGTCGTCTGCGTTAGTGCTGCATCCTCCGTTGGTTAAGAATCAACACTTACAGACTATCGATATCGTCTGCGTTAGTCCTGTATCCAGATAGCCATCTCCGTTGGTTTGGAATCAACACTTACACCCTGTCGATGTCGTCTGCGTTAGTCCTGTATCCACGTAGCCATGTTTCTGACTTCATCTAGTGGCTTCCTTTCATCAGTAGGCGGAACTTACCTGACGCTCAACTAACGCATTAGACCGAGGTGGTTCGTTGGCTGGCGCAGCCATCGTAATGGCGAAGAAAAATGCCGAGGCGATTAGAATAGGTCGCATATTTGCTGGTGTTTGTATCCTGTCGTCCGTTGTTTGATATGATATCTTCTACAACCACGGATAGGTCAAATAGACAACCCTTGCTTTATAACTAAATCATGCAGTAGTGAGGGCACGTGATTCTGAATAATCGCGTTAGGGGTCGCTAGGCGCTGAGCATGCGAAGGGGAATGGATCTTCCACATTTCTTGACACTATTAGATGGAGTGGCATTCCGCTATGAATTGGAATGACGATCAGTCACAAGCTCCGAGGTCTTGCAATCTGTTATGGAGCAGACCCGAAGATTGTAGTGTGTCCTAATAAGGGAGGGATTCGTTTAAGAAAAAGAAGGGATACATCTTCATGTCGATCTGCTTGTTCACGAACGGGCGCGACTAAGGAAAAAAAATTAATAATAGACGTTGATTTTGCTAGTGCCTTTAGGGGCCATTAATAACATCGCTAGGGAATTTAATCCGTGCGCTGATTGCATCGATCATCTTCGGATCTTACCGAGTATAGATCCTTTTTTCGCTTTTGAAGCCGAAACCCTGTCTTCAAGCATCTTGATCTATATTTGGCTTAGTAGGACTTAGGTGTGCGGAATAGTGGTTTATGTCTTAGTGAGATTCCAACAGTTCTCAGATAATTTTGCTGAGAAGGATGGATGAGGGAGGTTATGGAGGGGCATTGAGGTAGGAGTGTATAATGTCAGGATAAATCCTCTACTAGTGATTTCCTAGGTGGTTCATCTGCCGCATCCTGATCACCTGATCTCCCATCAGGAAAACTAGGCGTCCTAGGGCAATTTCCACGTAGCAGAGTTTTTCGCTTCTCTGCCCCTATAAATACTAGACAAGATAGATAGACTAAATACCATCGTTTTCATCATTGACTACCTGGTAGTTTACTAGTGAACATGCCTAATCCGCACTTCCACATTTTGTCCTATGTGCATTCGGTTTCCCCGTATTGTCATGCGAATGCAAAGGCTATAGAAAACGCCAAGACGCCTGAATAGCCCCCTGATTTGCAGAGATCCACTATGGGTTTCCAAACAATTCCACTCCAGTCTCATACACATTTGTAATATTACGTCGCAAGGTATTGTACCATACAAGCTGCATTTTATGGTGTCCATCCATTTAATGCGGCCCGCTCAATGATGGATCTGCGCCAAGGCCTTGGCGGTGGGGCGAGAGATGAGTTATCAAGTGTATTTTGGTCAAGCCGATTTCGAGAATGACTGTATTTTTGTATCCATCTTCTGTGTCGTCCTCCCACCAGGCTTTGCTGGACCCAACTTGCAACGGTGCAATCATTTGTCAGGCCCCAGGTGTCGACGCCACTTCACTTTTACAGTACGGCTCGGAACGCAGTGCAAGCTGATACTGTAGTCCGGGGGAAAAATGGCCTATTATCTTACTGATCTGGACACAATTGGGGAATCGGTGCTTCAGTAGATGGAACCATGGAAGGAAGTGAAAACGAGACCGGCATAGCTGTACAATGCACAACGTATTCAGAAATCTCGCCAAGCGGACTGGGCCCGCAGTTGCTCTATTCACCACCAACTTGGGACTAGCCTGGGGCCTCAAACCAGATAGCATATCTCCGGAGGCATGAGCACCACGACCAAGGAGGGCACAGACGAGGGCAATCGCTGACACTGTCTGGGGTACCTCCCAGAATGAAAGCTGTGGGCCGAACGTGCGGCGCTCGATGGCGACCTCGGTCCGATAAGTGAGAGACACGCTCGCTAGCACGAGGAACAGGGGAAACAGGACGTTGGGACGCATTTTTCTCGGCGGCGAACAGTGGTGAACAGGACAATGTCAAGATAATGAGTGTATAGTAGAACAGCGATGCCCAGTAGCCAATGGTTCGAACAAGAAGCTAATGAATTTAGGTCAACATCGTCTCATATAGCTGACTTCAGAATTGACTTCCATTTTGCACACAGAGGAACTATGTCAAACCCAAACGCTAAAGCGATGGTGAAACTGTCTAGTCCGGATCCAGCTAGATTACAGATAGCCTCTGCGCGTCACTTCGAAGTGGTAAAATACCTGACAATATTGATTCGCCACGTTCCCTGTACTCAGGTATTTCATTAATGCGCTTTCTGCCCCGCCCGCCTAGGTGGCTGCACCTCAGACCACGTTGGCGCTCTCCCCCAGCATTGTTCAGACATCGATGGTTCTAGACGGCAACTCTTCTATAGCCCACAGTAGCTGTGCCACTAATAGGAACAGGGAACTTGCTCCTGCCATCCACCAACGTCCACCGAGGCCATCACAGATGCCTACGCTAGGAAGGAATCTGCCACTTCTTTCCGCCCTATCGGACGCATAAAAGGCCACATTTCTCCTTTCGGGACCAGATACTCTGTTCTGCTATCCTCGCATCGGTTCCAACTCGACATAGTGCACGGCACAATAATCTCGATATGAAGAGACCGGCTCCGCTAGTAGGAAATATATACTACGAAGTTGTCCAGTCAATGGTTGATCGACTATGGGAAATATTGTGCGCTCGCAACCCGGCAGTGTCGTTATTATCCGTTCCAGAGGAAGCATGCTTTAATATCACTGGGCTCCCTGATATGCACCCCTCGGAACGCGTTGAAATACTTTCTCAAGTGAAGTCCCACGACTGGGATTTGAGATTCAAGGAAAAAACCGCCCAAGGTATCATAGTCATTCAGCTCATCCGTGTTCTAAGAGAGCGTGACTCCCGAAGAAGCGCGGATGCCCTCCGAGCTAGATGGCAGCGGATCTGTACCCACCGATAATATGCGTATAAAGATCAAATCCAACTACCTAGC